ATATACATGTATAAAATATTCAAACGAACACTAGTATGACAACTCCTAGACGCTGTTTTTGGATACCGGCTCAAAACAAGAAAGCTGAAACGCCTGTACGTAGTGCATACCGCTTTAAATATGCCCTGTCAAGACTCGACCTGGCTCCTGAAGTATGGCATTCCAACAAATGTTGATGAATTTCTCTCCGGACTTGGTGTACTTGGCGTCGTCGCCATAGAGTCCTATGACATTGGCCCCCCACCTTCCAGGGTGTTCTGGGTCCAGCCAACCGCGCCGTGTGGTTTCCCTCCAAAACTCCGCCAACCTTGCAGTGTCCACTTGTAGTTTCCCACTTTCCTTATTGGCGGAGCAAGTGGGACGTGTCCACAGGAGTTAGTTGACATGTGCCTACTGTAGTACTGCAAACAAGTTCAAAAAAAGATGACTATAGCATTACAAGATTCGAACAGATAATGGTACACTTCGTGTGGGAGCAATAGGGGAACTCGTTTCAAAATGATATCCCGACGGTTCTTTTGGCACCGTGCTGGCACTTCTATATAGAATGGAGGGACCGGAAGCCTCAACGTCCGATAAAGGTCCCGCTCAAGATTCCCTGGATGGCGTCCTCCCCCACCAAGCCGTGCTAGCTTTTGGGTGAGCTCCGACATCGAGCCCCCATGGGCCTGACCAGGATAAAATTAGTGAAAAGTCTTCTTGGCCTTAGACCAAAATCAATTGAAGGGGTGAAAGATTTCTTTATGCCCGGAGCCAGCCCTGGCCTTGGCTTCCCTCACCGAGGCAGCGGCACTTTGCTGAAGCTCCAAGCATGATGTCGCCTGGCAACACTAGCCGTGGATGGGCGCGGCGTGGGAGTGCGAGGTACAGTTATTTGCTTACAAAGATGGGTTGCTTTCAATAAACCCCTCAAGTTCAGGATGCCAGGGAGTGCTTCCAAGTGACGCCACGACCAAGTGAACAAAGAAGATGGTCTGCCAGGGAGTGATCACCTGCGGGCGGTCAGATATGAACAGGATCCCAAAGCTGTCTACACGCGAAAGCGCCAACGCATGCACATGGGTCTTTTCACCATCGCTTCACATCCACCATTCCCGCGCTATCCTGCACTGTATTGTGATCTGAAGCGATCAAACACTCAAGCGGCAGAAAGCAGAACACCAAAACTTACGAGCGCAAAAAGACAGTGTCTTTGAAGTTGCATTAAGTTTCCACTTGAGTGGCTCCCCATGACGCGCAGAAATCGCACAGGGTCTAAGGTGGACTCCTACAAAACCTTTGATGCCAGCACTTGGCCCTTTCAAAATCAGATAGGCGCCACAAACAATTTCGCAACAAAACAAGTCCAAGTAGGCCTAACCGGCACCCAATGCTCA